ATTTTAAAATTGGTTCATCATCATTTATCAAGCACCAAACACAACCATAATGGCAAGAATTTAGCATTCTAGTTGGTCTCGTCTGTAGCTGATATCACATTTCTTCAACAAGTGGGCTTGAAAACTGCCCCTCTGGGAATTTCAACAAGTCCAAAAAGTGAGTTTCATTATGGTTCATAAGCAATGGCAACTATAATATTTTTAGCTGATGGAGATCATAGCAGAAATTCTGTGGTAGACTCGTTTGTTGCGTGCACATACATAAACCGCAATGAAGATTTAAGAGAGCATCACAGTAGAAAACCATGTAGGTTATTCTTTACCAAAGTAATTCTAACAAGGCAAGAATGTTAAGTTTCTGTTGGATATAGTGAATAAAGTGTCTCCTCTGAGGAAAAGGAAGAACTAGACACTCAGAGGCTTGAAAAGCTTTACAGGGGCTTGCTTAGTGTCTTTCCAAATATTCTTTAATATGAACAAGGCAATGAAAACTTCACCACCTGCAGAACGATCCTTCCGAAACCCCTGCACCCCCTGGTGCACCTCTGCTGTCCTACTTTGCAGCAGTGTTTCCTGAAGGGAGTTGAAGGCAGATATTGATCTTCCATGAGGTGCTTCCTCAGTATGGGACTTCCCTGGTTACACCTCCTTGTGTCTTCCTTGGTATAAACACTTGGCATGCTCTGTTTTAGAACTTGATGGAATACCTGAAAAAAATGACAGACATATTTCTAATGAGGGTTACAGAAAAAAAAAAGAATGTTTCTCAGTAGGTAGCATGACTCAAAAGCTGCATTTTCCATAATAATGACACTAAATCCTCTTAGATATGTACATGTGTATCTGACATGTACAAATACAGTTCTCGTTAAATGCAGATACAAGTTTCTGCAAGAAAAATACCTATGCACATTCACACCAAAAAATATCATTTCACAGGGATGATTGGGTTGATAAACTGCAGTCTGAACAATCTCTTCCAGCCCCAAGAGAAGCCACAAAAAAAATAGGCACATAATTGGGAACAGGATCTCATGTTGAACATTGCTTATTCGATAAAACTTTTGTTCCTTTCCAGCCTTCCTAAGTCTGTTCTGGATGTAAAGAACGAAGCAGACGCAAGAGACTGCTGAGAAAGATAAACAGCTAAAAAACAGCTGTTCTGAGTGTTACTTATTCCGAAAAAAGGGAGAGACAGTATTTTTTGCCAAAGAAAATAAAATACATCCTAGATAAAAATCAAATGCATTTTCCTGTCAAAGAAATGTAGAAATTACTGAAACATACTGAAACCACTGGCAGCCTGGACATAATGAGTTTCACTGGAATCTTATTTTAGTCTCTCATAACTGATAATAACAATTGAAAAATAATTGCATTTTGTTTTAAACTAGATTAAATCTAGTTTGGTTCCTATTCAGATAGTAAAATTACTGAGTAAAATTATTAAAATTTTAATAACCTCAGCAGGCTTCCAGGATCTGAAAATCATGCAATTCACATAGCATACTCTATTAAAACAACAAGCATCTGATTTGTTTTTAATTAAGTCTGAACTTAATACATTGTGATATGAATAGTTACATACATCCTTTCATGTTTTTTTAATGACTGCAGCAATTTCCTGATGACAGCTTCTAGTTATTTTTCTAACTAACTGATAATACACCTATAAAATTTCTTTTTAAATACAAGCCAAGTAAGCAAAGTTGCCGATTTACTTACGCTGGTGATAAGAATTTCTAATTGTTTTTTCATACCTACTCCCACCACACTTTCTAGTTTTACTTCCACAGTGATGCAATTTGCTTTAAAGGGAGTGCATCTGCAAGAAAAAAATATCCTTCGAGGAGAAATGATTAATTATAATCTATTTACAATTTACATTAAAGTTCACACTTGTCCTTACACTGTGCACTGCCTGTTATTTCTCAGTTCATTTTGTATTTTTTCACTAAAACAAAGACTTAAAAATGACATAATTGGTTGCATGATCCTGATATGCGAAGTGGGGAGAATGCAGGTTTATGTAGGCAATATTTGCACTATTACAGACACAAGTTAGGTGTAAGGCCCCTGTGTTCTCACAGCACGATGTGCCGCCATCAGGAGAGGCGGTCACACTTTCTTCTCCAGGTATCACCCAAAAACTGGCTGTGCTGCACGCGGCTTCGATCCACCAGTCTCATGCTGGGGAATGGCCTTTGCGGTGGAACATTTCTATGCAGTTTGCTGCTGGTTTAAGGTTTGCCAGAGGTGAGGGGGAGGCCGCTGATCTCTGGAACAGGGATCATTTCCATCAGTGGAAATTCAAAGGGAGCAGGCAGCAGCAGGATGGTGTGCGGATGCCTGGGAACAGCAGCAAGGGAAAGCGTCTTCTTCAGGGGTAAACATACTACAGGCATTGGACACTTAAATAATTCCACCAGATCAGAAAGAAAAACCCCTCCTTTTGCTCCACTCATGAAGGGGCATGATAAAGTGAGCCAATCCATCAGAGCAGCCGTGCCAGTGGCCTCTTCTTTAGGGCAGATTGCAGCATCTGAAAAAGCGACAAATGGAACAGTTTTGGCATAGTTAATAGGGTGTTTTTCATTTTGAGATCTCCCGTGTGAACCCCAAATATCAAGCTCTGTCCTCTTCAGAGAAGAACAACATAGATTTGCCACTGTGACACTTGTCTGAGTTAGTCTGGGTTTGCCTTTGTAACTGATAGAAGTTTCCAGAGTTTATTTGTAACTGCTAAGTGAAGGCACCTGTGGTTTGTCAGCTTTATGCCACGGTAACCAAGCAGAACAAACCTCTTTCAAAACATAGGGTCAGAGTTGGCATCTAAGCCCAGGAGATCAGGCCAGGGCTGTCCCTGTGACTCACATCTGTCTGCGCGTGGGGGCCTGGGACTCCCAGCCACAGCTCTGAGCAAGGACATGCCCTCCGAGATGAGCTGCTGCTCAGGCCGCAGTGTGGAAACACGAGCGATTCCGTGACTTGGACCATAAGAAGAGGGCACCCATATTTATTCCTTTTGCAACTGACGGCAGCAATAGCAAGCTCAGAGAAGAGCGTTTTAGCTCTGGAGCCTGTGTTAAGGTGTCTGTGCAGCTACTGTATTAGAGATGTAGGCATCGCCAGCAGCAATCACCCACCCTAAGAAGGAAGCTACGAAGAAACAGCCTCTCCCTTACACAGAAGTGACTCCTTGCTCCAGGGCAACAACTACTTACTACAGAGGAAAAGGCTAGCCTTGCACTACGCTGGGACCCCTTAGGCCAGACTGCCTCAGGGGACAGCAACCAGCCATTTCCGTTGCTGCCTCTGATACCAATTGACTGGAAAAAAAAACAGATTCACTGTTTTTACAAGTGCCCAGGTTTTACTTTGCCCAGTTCTTGAAGAAAACATTGCTAAGGATAAGGTGTGTAACATAGGCTTCCACAGCTCCTTCAGGTGAACTCTATGGTACTGGTAAGTTGGATGTGTGCCCATGCCAGGTGTGTGCGTAGGAATCCAACCTGGGTTAGGCCGTTTTCACAGTCGTGGTTTCTATTTTGAAAAACAATCCTTAAATGCCATCTAGTGGTAAAAGCTATTTTCCTATTCCAATTCATCTTTAAAGAGATAGGGATACACAACTCATAAAGGAGCTCTACAAAGTCATGGATGGACCTGCTTCTTATTTTGTTTAGTTTTTCTCCTTTCATCTCTTTTCCCTGTAGCTGAGTACTCCTTAAGAAGAGTACATAGGCAGTATGCAGTAGCATTACTTCTTGAAACAACTTGCCAGGGCACCCAACTTGGCACATGTCAGTGCCTGATAAAATGTGATGTGCTGATGAAAGAGCCATTAAGTTCAAGGGTAACCTCTGACAACTTCCCTGTGAAACCCTCAGTTCAAGGCCTGTCATCATCAGCTGGACAACACTTTTTGGAGAACCCCCATGCTGTTGCAAGACTGGCAGCAAGCAGCAGCCAGGTCCATCATCAGCCCCTGTGGGCTGGCGAGAGCTGCCTGGGCAGGACTGCTGTCCTGGGTGTCCTCCGTCAGCCAAACCTCTGCTCAAGGGCTGTGTTGCCCCTGCCTCCCACAGGCCCCATCAGCCTCCTTCTACCCACCCTGCCCCTTGGCTGCCAAGGCCCCAGTGTCTGAAACCTTCCTTTGCCGCCAACAGGGAGGCTTTGGACACGGTCTGTGCTGGCAAACATGACTGTGCCACCTAAGGGGAGCAGCGAGCGCGCTCGGGCAGCTGTGACAGCAGCTCCTCAGCCCACACCGGCATCCAGCAAGGCCACGCGCAGCAGGGACGCGGCTTTGGCGGCCGTGGTGTGGCAGAGCAGGCTTTGGCTTTACCACAGAGCTGCAGAAGGGCTGAACCCATAGGCCTGGCTCTGACCCACTCACCAACTCACGCGTCTGCCTGGCCCTGGTGACGGCTGCTGCCACCTCCCCCTCCTTGAGGACCTCCTGCGGGGCAGAGGTCACTCTCTGCATGTCCTGTTCCTTCACTCAGCTCCCAACATTCCCTTCCGCCACTGCCTGGTAGCAGGACGTGCCCGGAAACAGCTTGTGGTGGCAGCCAGTGTGGCTGAGCGTGTTTTCCACAGCGAGTAGGCACATATCGCTCCTCTCCACCCCCTCAACTTTCAGCCGCTGTAAACCATTCTGAGCACTCAGTGCTTTAACTGCTGGCATCATTTTTTGATCCGTTTTGACTGCTTAAACTTTACAATCCATTGTTTTTTAAAATGGAGTTTACAACTTGCAGCTCATAGGCCCATCATCAGGCAAGTTTTTAATAAATGATAATGCAGTTCATTGCACTGAACACAGTTCAGCACGAAGGAATGGATGAAATTCCTGCACTGCTGGAAGGTATTTTCCTCCAGCTCAGCTGTCTCGTTTGTGTATAAAACATCTGGATACAGACAGCAGACTCACGTAAAAAGAAAGAGGCGTTGACACAGCAAATGCACCAATCCTCAGCTGGCAAGAGTGAGTCACCATGGAGGAGCAAAACGCAAGTCTGAAACGATGTGTTAGGTTTCAACATCTCTTAAGGCCTATTGCCCACAGTGGAGCTTTATCGTTTTGTACAGAAATGCTATAAAACAGGGAAACTAGATGTGTTTCCTACCTATTACCTTTCAGTTAGGATGCAAAGAGCTGCAGACTTGCCTCTTGCCTGCTTTTGTAGGTCACCCCCTGGAGCCTGTCAGTTTCAGGACAAAAAAATGATTTAGGGAGCTATGCGTGAGCTCATGACCCAGCAGCCTTTGCAGTAAAAGGTAGTGTTCATGTTAAAACAACACCGCAAATGATATTCCAGCCTGCGGGCTTTGCAGCTTATTATTATTGAACAGGAGTCATCTTTCAGCCACTGCAGGATGCCAGCTAACAAATAGCACTACAGAGCTTCTAACTCATAGACGAGAAGTGTTGTGTTACCTGCTCTCCAGAAGAGCTACGCAAGATTTAAGTTTGCTCATGCAGCCGTGAGGTCTAGCCTTAAACTTTCTGAGTCTCAGGTGCTGTCACACTTCGTATGAAACAGCATGGTGCTGAACAAACTAAAAACAATCCAGAAGCGCCCGGATAGGTTGCAGTAGCAAAAATAATCATTGTTGTCAGTGCTGGGAACAAAACTTGAGTGCACTGTATTTTCCAGCAGCTGAAAAACAGGAAAGAGAAGCGTGGCTGTGGCTTGGGGGCTGCATCACTGCACACTGCAAACTCAGGAGCTGTCTTTCAACTCTACGAGAAGCGGCCAGTGAGGAAAGGCCACAATTAACAAAACTGCATCTGGTGTAAAATAATAAACCAATACTGAGTGAATGAATATGCCCCCTATAGGCTAGTGCATGACTACAGATGTAACAGCTAGCAGGATTTGGTCTCACATTTGCAATAAATTCACCGTTTCCAGCATGGTTCCATGGTTTAAACCTATTGCAATGTATTTCTTGATTCTAGAGTAACATGTAAAGTGACAAAGGACGCAACATTTACTGCTAGATACAGCAATTAAGAAGCTTTGTTCTCATCAGAGACAAAGCACAGCTAAGAAGCCGCTCAGTGAGGCACATATTTGAGAGTTACCATATCCAGGTGCGGCTATGGGGAAAAGTCCAAGAATCCTCTGCAGTTCCTTCTAGCAATCCCAGTATTAGAAATTTATGCAGGAGTAATTTTTTTGTGTGTGGAAGCTGCAAGGAAATTGCAATGGAAACTGCAATTTTTTACACAGTGATCAAGAGCACTGCTAAGGTGGCTAAAATTAAAATATTTTCAGGATGTTGCAGGTTCTAGTGAGGATATGAAAAAATTGTTCACACTACAGGCTGAGAAACCACGTAGAAAACTAGCAAGTAAGAAACATGCTGTCCTTTGGCATAGGGCAGTGCATCCTGCACTTGGTCTAGACCAGCACAGCCCAGCCAAGGTCTCAGACCAGGGCACCAGCAACGCCAGCCGCAGAGCTGTGCACAGGGCAGGCACAAGCATCCAGCACCCGAACCAGCGGCAGATGCTGGTTACACCCAGTGCTCGGCGCGGCCGCAAACGCTGGTTACAGCCGCTCGTGACAGTTGCCCAGCGATTCTGAACTCCTCCTGCCCTGCAGAGGTGCCACGCTCGCTTTAACGCCGGACACCAGCCAGAGTTACACAGCACTCCCAGAGAGTAACCGCTGCCCTTAGACGGGGCCTCCAAAGCACCTCGGAGGCAACCAGATAAATATCGCGGCGGTGACTTCAAGATTTCGCCCCTGACTCCCCCGCAGCCCCGGGAGCCA